ACTGCTAATGAACGCACCGAGCGTTTTTAGTTTTAACGCTTTCGTAATGGAAACTTCGACTTGAAGAACAAACCACACAGGTTAATAACGCTCATTCGAAGGAGATGGTGGAAGCTGATCCGAGTCAAACTACCCAGGAATCAGCAACATTGTTTAACGTTACCCTACCTACTATATTTACTCATTTGCATCAAATCTCTCTTGACTGATCTGCAGAAAGAAATGCGTGTTGAAACTTGTGTTGCCTTTTTGAATCGGTACAGAAATGAAGGAACTTCGAACAATGATGGCGAAACTGGCAGTGAAACAGACCCGACTCGTGAATCGATCTTCACCATTATTGCTCCATGATAACGCAAGAACTTACACTGCCCGGGAAACCGTTGTAACTCTACAGGAGCTGCAGTTAGAAATCATATGTCATCCTCCGTACTCGCCAGACGTTGCTCCAACGGACTACCATTTTTTTCATGAATTGGACAATCTTCTACATAATAAGCATTTTTCTTTCTAGGAGGCAGTACAAAATGCTTTTACATAGTTTGTCAAATCCCCAGAGTTCTATCGTAAATTCATAAATGGACTTTCGGTTAGATGGCAGCAATGTATAGCTAACGAGGGTAAATATTATGATTAAATAAATATGTTATATCTTAGAAAAAAACGAGTTTTATTTTTTCAGTGCATTCTTACTTTAACCCCTAATATTTAATAGTAAAGTTTATTTATGTAATGCACAATTTTTAATTAATTCATTATTTCCTTTATCAAAAATATAATTCAGATTTTGACGAACTCGTCTACCTACGACACATATCATTGTATAACTCAGATGTTAACTGATAGAAAATACCTATATTGTTCTATCATTGCGTCCATTTCATACTTCGAAGACATGAAGTCTTTCGCTAGCTTTCGCTACATAAAAATCAATGACACCCAAAAACGTCGTACCTACGTGCCCCGAAATTATGTCTCTTAGCAACGTGAAACTTCTAAGTCAATAGGTACCTAAGCGTAACGCACAACAAGCATTATAAATCACATGTTTTATATATACGTGTATGTATTGTTGTCAAGGGAAATATAGAGCCATAAATCACAGGTCAGTAGTTATATATAAGCTGTGTAGTTATATTTATAATGACTGTGTAGTTCCATAGAGCATGGGGTGATTTGTACGCGGTTCCACAACAATGTGGCACCTAATAGGAAAGGGTTCTTTGAAAATTTAGGTATACGAGAGTTTTTTATAGTAGTTGTTAGCTTTCCTAGTAATGTAGGGTACCTATACTTTATTCTCTAGAGGCTGAAATATATAGGATAAAGTTAAGAAAAGCGGGAGCGTAAAATTATTGATAAAACAATAGACACTCTAGGTTGAGCGCAGTAAATGATTATTTGATTGCTTTGTTTCGGTAATTAACCTTTCTTTAAGTAAGAATACTTAGTATAGGTAGGCCCATCACTAATGTATTCAAAAAATTCATATACAGAACTGGCAGGTGTATTATTTTTTAATTGAATATACTGTTTAATGACATAAAACATTCTTTGACAAATTGTCTTTAGTTTAATCAAATATTTAAAAATGACAAAAATCTGCACTAGTTTTAAACCTACCAATTGGTTTGTCATCATACGAATGAACCTACGAATGAATTTGTTAGTAGGTTATCGTACCTATGAATAGTATCTACCAAGTAACATACTACTAAATAACCTAATTTCATGCAATATGTCTTGTACCTTGTTGTTGTTGATATGAGGTAGCTTTAAATTGCGATTTATTATCTGTACTTTTGCGGCCGTCGTCCTGTTTTATCGACATATCCTATCTCAAACGTCAATCATAAAACATAAAAAAATACATAAATCATTTGAAAACTTCTAAAAAACATTTCATCTTATAACATACCTACCTATGGAGACATCGCGTGCTATTTACCCTCTATTTGAATTCTAATGCAAATGTGATCATGCATAGTCCATACGTGCACAGATAGCATCTAAAAGTTGCTTAAACCATAAACAAAGAAATTCCTTTGCTTACATCTACTATTGCCTATTCTGAGCCTATATTTGTTGGCATAGATTTGGTGGTAAAAATTGAACTTGAATATAATGCTAAGAGATGAACAAATAAATTGTAATGTTTTTTATGACGGCCTGGTGGTCAGTGATATCGACTACTGAAAAAGAGATCGGTTCGATTCTCGACCATGACAAATAATCGTGAAACTACTAACGAGCGCTATCATTTCGTCATGATCGTAGAATAATGTCCGTTTTGAAAAAAATATAAATTCAGTTTTTGCAGTTTTGAAACTTGCAGGCATCTTCTATCAGATGACCCGTCTGTTTGTTTGCCCCTATTTCGTTAAAGAAACCTAAAGACACGGCCAAGTTTTAATTCGTACGAGCATGTGTGTTTATTTATTCAATAAAGCAAATTTACATTAGATGTCGGCGAAAATTCATTTTCATGATTTGTTTAAATTTTTGCACCTAACTGCCTCAGCCAGTATCGGAATCCTACGAACCGACATATCGAGCAAATCTGGCACCTCAGTACCAGCTTCTCCCTCTGGACCGCATCCAACGAAGAGCGACTCGAATCGTCGATAGCCCAAACATCTCCGATCGGCTCGATCCCGTGGCGTTACATAGAGATGTAGCTTCACTCTGCATTCTCTATCGTGTATATCACAGAGAGTGCTCCTAGGAATTGTTCGGACTAGTACCGGCCGCAACTTTAACCATCACATGTCTACGTAACGCTTACGGGATCGAGCCGATCGAAGATCTATTCTCTCGATAGTCGATCTACCTGGCAAGGTTTATTTTCACATCTTAGCTTTTTACTAGCAGCTTGATTTAAATTATTTTATATATACGAATATGTAGGTACACGTACGGTAGGAGCTCGCTTTTTAAAGCACTGAGTTGTTGAAATCGTTAATGTGAAAAATATTTCCTGCACTCAACTGAACATGTCAAAATAATGTTTGTGATTATGTGAATTGGCACATCTGAAAGAACACGATCGTTAATGTACGCTTAACCTACAAACGTCTAACAAAGTTAGTAATTAAAACTGTATCTTCCTTGTAATCGCAAGGCGGTGCGAGGCACCGATGCCGACGCCGATGTACATGGTGCATGTGGTTTAAAAGCTTTGAAGACATTGCGAGTAGGGTATATTTCATTTAGCTGGAAGATTCACACCTTCGACGTATTTGCAAAATTGCATTTCGGACTATGTATTCGCAAGTTGATCCTATTGGTGAGCGGTTACTGATGTTGTCAAGGTACACAGCATGGGGTTATGGAGCTTTGACTGGTAGAATAATAATATACTACCTTCACAGATCTCACACATGGCCGGCTAATCCCAAACTAGACAGAGCCTGTACCTACTATGGGAACCAGACTGCTAATAAACGCATTTACTCGTAAATATTATATTTCTAAATATAAACACGTTATAGATAAATTACAACCAGACGAAGAACAAATGATCGTGCCCATCACACAATTATTTGTCCTGGATAGGATTTGAACCCACGAGCTCTGATATAGCAGTCAGGGTTATTAACCACTAGATCAACAAGCTTGCAAGTGTTCGTGTGGTGACGGATTAAGAATACAGAGTGTCACCACCCCTATTCATCCCGTGGGTGTCGTAAGAGGCGACTAAGGGAGAAAACTACGCAGGACAACAACACTGCAGAGAGAAGGAAAACTTGAAACAAACCCTATACCAACCCGTCTGGCCAGCGTAGTATAGTAGGCCAAAACCTCCTTTCTAAGGGGAGGCCTATGTCCAGCAGTGGACAATTAAAGGCTGTTGATGATGATGATGATGAGATCAACAAGCTAGTCAATAATCAGGATATAAAAAGTGTTTTGTTGTAGGTGAAAATTAGCTCCGCGTGTAGGACTCGTAAGGAACATAGAACTCTCCATAACCAGTCTTTCCATACAATTTCTTTTCCATGTGGCCAGACATCTGGTAACCCATACTTACGATTGTTGGCTGATGTCTCTACGAACAAAACATTTCTTATGTAATCCGACTCGTAGGCTTTCCCGCGAAGAAAAAAAGATTCATAATTCAATCTTATGCTTAAAGCAGAAAGACGTGCGTGTCTGCAAAACTCTGAGATATCGTTTTTCAAAGAATTATGACAGAAGCTTATTTATATCGCAAAAAAATTATGTTCAAAAGATCCATATTAAAAGAAGGGTAAAGAACCTATTTTTTAGTTATTTTCTAATTGTTTGTAATAATATTTTAAAATATTTTCCAGTCTATTAGACATTGAAAATCTTATGCAAGAAATATGATTTAAGTTTTCCTATGAAAATACCTTTATTCCTAAACTTACGGACACTCAATCAAATATTAATAAAAATAAATTTTCTTTAATTCTCGCCCACAATTGCACAGATGGCGCAGTGGTTTAAGCGGTCGCCACGTTGCTTCCTACTGCGCCGAGTGTTGTGGGTTCAAACCCCACATGGGACGACACTTTGTGTGATCCACAAATTGTTGTTCTGAGTCTGGGTGTTCTTTGTGTCCGTTTCATGTATGTTTGTAAAGTCCCTAGCGACACAGGAATATATTCCTAATGCGGTAGTTGTCTTCAAAAAAAAATGAAAAGAAAAAAATAATTCATCGATATACAACAATAAACCAAAAATACACAGGGGCCCATACTAAGTAAACTTATGTTATAGAGGTCCAGGATTAAAAAAAAAGGAATCAGGAAACTACTAAATGAAAAGTTTATTTACACTGTATTTTACTTAAAATAACAAATTTTCATGTTATTTGGTTTCAGAATCGAAAAAGAATTTTGTATTTCATTAAAGGACTGTTATTGTTGTTTTTTTAATTAATGTTTTTAGGCATTAGGTATAGCAATTCAGCACAGTTCTGAGTTGATTTCTAATATAACATTATAATACATATAATAATTTAGGTCTTAAGGAAAATGGCTTCAGAAGGCAAACAGATTAGTGTTGCGGCGACGGCAATTGCGCTTCGTGGGGTCCGCCTTTTTCTTTCTGCTGGCAAAACTGCTGCAGAACGTTCACTTCCCGCTGCTGCTCAACCAGCCCCACGAGTGAAAAGGAAGCCGAAACAACCGGTGGTAGGCAATAAGCTCTCGCCAAAGGTGATCGAACAGCTTTTGAAGACAACTAAGTTCAACAAGTAAGTGGTATGTTAGATCTTAGAGTATATCTTTGGGCGAGGTTGTCGAAATGATAAAACTTACACCCTCATGAGCTATGAAGGCAAAGAGAATGCTTCGTCGATGAATATCATATTCTCAAAAGACCACATTCGTAAAAACCACATTCGCAAAACACGATGTTCGCAAAACATCATATTCTCAAAATATCATGATCTTATAAGACCACATTCGCAAAACACAACATTGACCACCAAATGGCATAGTGGTTTGTGTAACGGACTGCTATTCCAAAGGTCGCGGATTCGATTCCCGCTCAAGTCAAACATTTGTGTGCATGAACATTTAATGTTTGTATGTATGTACAGTATGTATTTACAAAAAAAAAGTATATACTTATTTATATCAGTGGTCTCGTACCCATAGTACAAGCTCTGCTTGGTTTGGGACTAGATGGCGTTGTGTGAATGTGGTACAATATTATTATTATTTTTCCTGTTTCTACCAACACTTTCAAAGTACAGTCTTGGGCAATATGTGACATGTTTTCATGTTTTTTTTTTAAACGGAATAACAAAACAAATTGTGAAATTATTCTTAAACAAAACAAAAAAATAATTCTATTCTGATAAATTAATTATTATTAGGTATTATTGTGTATTTATTTCTTAAACCTTATTATTTTGACATCATGTACTAATTGCACATGAGCGTTTCAAACACATGAATCATGAGTTTGTGTTCTAATGTTGACTCCCTTGCATGTACTGGGTCTACCAATAGGGATGACCTGGTTTTGACAGCTCATAGCGGCCATTTTTGATGATGGATCTTTGACGTCTCTTGACATTTGTGTTCAGTAAGCTTTGCCATTTTATCATGTCACGTTTCACTTTAAACCAACGCTTAGAAATTGTCCAAAATTATTACGCAAATTCGCGTTCTCTTACCGCTACAGTAAGAGCGCTTCGCGCAAAAAACGGTCGTCATAGTGCTCCTTCTGTGCGCGCCATAAATCGCATAATAACAAAATTTGAAAGTGAATTCACTCTCCACGATACTGCTGTGCCTGTGAGACAAAGAAATGCCTGTAGTGAAGAGAATATAGCAGCCGTTCAGGCCAGTGTTGATGCGAATTCAAATCGATCAGTTCAACGCCGTTCACAAGAGTTGGGGCTCTCTCCAATGACGTTACGTGGTCAAAACAAACGAATAGAAAAGTCTTAGCCAAGTTGACAATTGTTCAAAGTGATAGAGGACTGTGGCAAATGGCGCTCTATCGTGTCTGTCTACCCTGGATGGGAATGAGACGATAATGTATCTATCCCATTAAATAATTTTAGCTTCAATATGTTCAACTCTAATATTTATGGATTGTGTACATCTTTTGTTTCATAAAATGTGTGAAATTCAAAGTTATAATAGCAATCACACTCAACCAAATCGATACTCTTAACAGAAAAAAACGAACCCTTTAAAAGCACAATATGTAAAAAGTTTTCTAAACAAATCAAATTTCGAATGAAACCATTCAATCGGAAATTATGAACATAAACTACCAAAAGCTATAGTTTCATCAACATAGTTTCATGAACCGAAGTTCAGTAGGGAGCTTATACGCGCCGTCAGAGGTCGCTTACAACGCACGTGCGCACCATGACTAATAAAAAACTTAAAGAGAAGCATCTCGACACGCTCTATAGACTTACACATTTTACGAAGTGAGTTTTAATTTTATTATTCAATTAACTTTAAAAGATTGTGACTTGTGTCAATTGGCGTTTTGAAGTTGTAACATGAAAAGTGTTATTTATTTTGATTAGTATAGAGCATAGAATATAGTAAGAACAAAACAAGTATTAACTAGTTATTTGCTAGAAAATTAAATTACTCAAATTTGAATTTAAAGGATCGATTTGTGAGAAAATACTGATAATGTTTAAATAGGTACCTGGAGTCTACACTTTTGTGTATATTGAAGATACTTTGGCGGTCAAATTGTGGACCGTTTTATTTTTAATATACAAGTAACCATTAAATAGACTTTTGGACGATAACAGGTCAAAATATTTTCTCGACATCTACAGTTTTGATGTTAACGTTTTTATAATTTTCAACTTTGCAGCACTTATTATGTATGTATTGCTTTTTTCATCATCATTATCAACAGCCTATAACAGTCCACTGCTGGACATAGGCCTCTCCTTAGAAAGGAGGTGTTGGCCTACTGTACCATGCTGGCCAGACGGGTTTGTATAGGGTTTGTTACCTGCACTTAGTCTACATTAAACAGTAACCGTTATAAATATTTTATTCTTCCGCACGCAAGAGAAAAGTGCGCGATCTTCTTCGGGGTGAATTGGCGAAACACTTACAGCTCTAGTTCCCGACTGAGTATTTATATATTTTACTAGCTGACCCGGCAAACGTTGTTTTGCCAAAAAAGAAATTTAGGGATGGGTCACCCTTACCATTTAGGGGTATGAAAAATAGATGTTGGCCGATTCTCAGACCTACCCGATGTGCACACAAAATTTCATGAGAATCAGTCAAGCCGTTTCGGAGGAGTACGGGAACGAACATTGTGTCACGAGAATTTTATATATAAGATTAAATTTATTTAGGTTTATGTATGCATGTGTGTTTTTATATTGTGTATGTTTCTGGACCTAAATTATGTTAATATCATATTTTATTTTGCACCTACCGCATCATATTTCTACATCACCTGAAGGTTGACTGGGAGAGAATGCCTAATGGCATTAAGTCCGCCTTTGTACAATATGTGCATTAAGTTTAAAATAAATAAATAAATAAATTTGTTAAACAGGTTAACATAATTTCTCAACGTGTTATTGTAGATTATGTAAACATATACAAAACAAAAATAATTCTTGTATTCATTCATTGTAGATTATTGGAATTGCTTCACAGTTGAAACTAGGAGGTAGAAATTACTTTATTCTGATAAGAACATAAAACATGACCGATGGAGGTTGTATATTTTTAATCATTAGGTTCTCAGAAAAATATACGGAATCATATTTTTTTATGTTAGGGGCAGACGAGCAGACGTGTCACCTGATGGAAAGTGACCATCACCGCCCATGAAGCCGGCCTTAGGAAGAAGTAGGTACGCTCTTTTCTTGAAGATCAAACCTTCAAGAAAAGAGCGTATTTACTCCTTCCTAAAAGGCCTTACTACTGCCGTATGGATCTGGGTAAAATTTAAAACAGATTGTAGTATCTGGAGAAGTTTTTATACGAGAAAAATTATTGTTATAATGTAAGCGATACAAATAAATGAGACCTTACTTCACATTAAAACTAGCGAAGCCGCGCGGGAAAAAGCTTATGTTATTATCAGAATTCAGAATTACTTATATAGATTTGGCAGTTATTTACACATGACTAAAACTGGTACGTCCTAACTAGTTAAGGTTTATACATTTTTAATCTGTATCCGTAAAACAAGTACCTATATAGAACGTATTTTCTGGAAACACCGTAATAGTATATCCCATTTATTTTTTCTACATATCATCGCGTGCATTCTCAGTAAAATAAACAATAGGTTTTACGTTTCACATTGAATAATGTTGATAGCGATCTGCCTACTTCACGAGGCAACTCTCTGTGTATCTGTTCCCTTGTACGATATCTTCACAATTTACTGCGACTTGAACAAGTAAGTAATCGTAATTCGTTGTGACATACAGGCATACGAAGCTTTTTATTGCTGCTACCATTTACTTTTCTACTTTCGGTAACATTGATTTTTTTTTATGGAAGAGGGGGCAAATGGCGGGTCACCTGATGGTGATTGGTTACTGCCGTCCATGAGCGCCTGCGACTCAGTAGTCACTGCCGGCCTTAAAGGAATACGCTCTTTTCTTGAAGGTTTGAAGGTAATACCGTAGACGACAACTTGTTCAACAGATTGGTTGTTTGAGTCAGAAAGTGTTCTGAAAAGCGCACAGTGGTGGAATACCAATATGATGTGACCACCGCATAATGATCGGGACGGAAATTTAGCCATGTGGAACGATGGCGGGGAACTGTTATATTTGGGATCATAATGTATTATACTCTCAAGTTTGTCTTATAAACTACATTCACTACAAGAACTACAAAGTCATGTAAAATTATTTACAACGAAAGTCATTACATTTACATTTACAAAGTCTATCAGGGCAACATGCCCCGATAGACTGTGCCGTCGCATTTAAATACAAAAATTAAATAAATAAAATGTATTTCGAAGTGATCCCTTTTAATAATGAGAAACAATTACTATTTCGCCTTGTGCACGGTGCATTAGAAAACATGAATACAAAACCCTCCAGGAAACCCCCCGGTTTTATTACTGTGGTGGTTTGGAAACTACTACAAATGACTTTCGCTTCCACATCATCTAACACATTTCTATCATTGTTGTTGTGTTTGAAAGTTATCAATAGATTTTTTGTTGTTATAATATTGTTATAATTATTCGTATTTCGTTTGTTTTCAATTTATTTATTTTTCCGTTGAATTTGATTTGTATAGTATACTTTTTGTGTATGTAAATGTTAACTGTTTTACTAAATATATGTCTATGAACATAATGATATTAGTATTATTTAAGGTATTTTTAGTTATTAGCATCTACGACAGCGATTGGCCGGCTCGACCTGAGACAATCAAAAAACGACAATACGCTTGTATCACTTGAGGTGCAGAGGGCCTAGTGCAAGTTTATTTCACATCAAGTTGCTCTCGACAGCGATCGCGTTTGGCGTTGTAATTGGTGGAAATTTTAGTGCGGGCCAATCACAGCGCTGAACGCGGTAACCGCGACGCTCGAGTAGATGAGAAATAAACTCACACTTGAGCCTCTGGTGTCCATGGGTAATAGTAGTCACTTATCGTCTTGACCCAGCTTCTCGTTTACCTTATTTCATATAAAAAATCTGTCGACTAAATCCATGTCCATCCAATACCCATGTCTATCTTTAACCGAATTCATTAATCTTTTACGAGTAAATCTAAAGTTATTTAAGCCCCGACTACTTTAATTCTTAAAACTCTTTACCACCCTTTGGTAGCCGCTTCGTATCATATTTTAATTATAGGCCAACTAACGAGCGCCTTTGTCCACAGACCCGAGTTGGAAGCGTTGTATTCGATGTACAGGAGATTGGTGAGCAGCGCTCAAGCAGCCGCACCAGCCACAGCTATTGGGCACTCTCCAAAGATCGATGTAAGTGCTGACAATAAATTGTGCTACACTACACTAAATTCTGGAACTACGAGTATATTTCGGATCAGCTGTTAAAATTATAGGAAGCTGTCTGATAATGTAGCTACGGAACAAATCTTACATCTTGAAAATAAGGAAAGACCGAGTTTATCGAACTCAAATTATGGCTTTAAGTGAATCCGGGAAGGAGACCGAAAATTTGGATCCTGGGAAGATGAGAATTTATTTCCATTTGATGAAGCAGGTAATCATGAAGAAGGAGCCTCAGAGGATGTTTTAAAAGCAGGTTTACATCACATCAACGGCCTCTAACAGTCCACTGCTTGACATAGGCCTCTCCTTAGAAAGGAGGTTTTGGCCTACTATACCACGTTGGCGAGACGGGTTTGTATTGAGTTTGTTTCAAGTTTTTCTTCCCTTTGCAGTGCTGTTGTGCTGCTTAGTTTGTTCGCTAAGTCGACTCTTACGACACCCACGGGATGAATAGGGGTGGTGACACTCTGTATTCTTAATCCATCACCACACGGGCAGGTTAATCAGAAGTAGTAAAGGAAAAACATTGCTCGAGTTATTCGGCAACGGGCAAGTTCTAAGTAGACTAGGTGCTAGCTCTAATTTATCTTAGGCTTGAATAAGCTAAATAGACTTGAAGAAAAAATGGAGGAGATTCTCGGAGGAGATTCGGCTGCGTGTTTTACTCCGTACAGTTTTTAAAATATCTTTAATTTAAAAGGGCATAAGTACGTCCCGTTTATTCCCATTTAAATTTAAAGAAGGAAACTCCACCCTAAGCGTGAAAATTAAGGAATGAAGTATATAGTTTATTACAAATCGTCATGTGTGTATGTAATTACCAAAAAAAAGTAGGTATAAAAATATTAGTCAATCTAGCTTTCATAGTGCAAGCTTTGAAGCTAGATGGCGTTGTGTGTTAGATATACAAAATATAAATTTATTATCATTATTATCATTATGTGGGTACATTGAAGCCGGTTTTACTTTTCTTGTTAAATTATTTATTTCAGAAAAGATGCTATAAAATCCAATCTAAGTTGTTTTTGTTTCCGAGAAACACGAAATATGTACAAATTGACACAATAATTTCTGAATAATCTATTCTTCTTATGTATAAAAAAAAACCTATTTAGTTTACGAATTAAGTTTTTGTGAGAAATTCGGTTACAGCGCCATAATGTTATTTAACGCGACAAAACGACTCCGCGTTTACAGGTATTTTTACGCAAATAACTTACTCCATATCAAATTAGCCCCGAACATAATGTTCCTTTGTCATATCTCGTCAAATACCATAAACTATGTCGACTAGACGACACAGCTATATAATATTGCGGATTAGAAAAAATTCAGTTCACGTAACGGCGATAGTGTGTAATAAACGTAGGTAAGGTACAACAGGGACAGACTTAGGGTTATTTTAAATAATATATAAATACAAAACTAAATTCCCGTACATATTTTTTTAAGCTTAAGTTGAGTAAATGAATATTTAATAAATAATTCACCGTGTATATTTTATTAGTATAAGTATCTTTTTAATTAACATTTATTGTTGAATTTTTGGAACTCTCTTTAATGTGATTTATGTAATGTTGATTTTTTGAGCTTTTTTGAATACGTGGCTTTTAGTAGTCCCATAAATGCATCTATAAGAAAAGGAAATAATAATATTTCTACTATTAGATATTGCTCCATTGGATTCATAGGCAATACTTAAATAAATACTAACTATAAGAAATAAAGAACTAACTGAATGGATAATCTAATGTTTATCGAACATTTTTACATGCTATATGGGGTAAGTAAGCAGACGGCTCATCTGATACTAAAAATTGTTATTATGAGTATGAATGTTACAATACACAGTTTAAATTTCTCTTTCTTTCTGAATAGTAGTAAAACCCTTATTTCTCTAATAAATCTAAAAAACACAAGTTATCATTTGGCATGTTTCCAAAGAATAATCCAAATATTAATAGTCAAACAATAAATTCCTGTAACTAATGCAAACGAAGCATGATTACATAAAACATTTTAAATTGTGTTTTAATTCGATGTCTAACTTTGTTTTGGATTAGTTTCCTTAAACTATTAAGCTGCAACGTCCTTGTAACGGTTTAATTATGTTAGTTGAAGGTCCAGGCATGAAGCTCTTTTGTATGACTTTGGTCGCAAACGGTTTACTTATGTACATATATATTAATAAGGGCTCGAGCTCGGTGTTCAACTGGCTATAACGTTCCTTAATAAATAGACTCTAATAAAAAAAATATCTTAAATTAAATTGATAATTCCAAAGCTCGATCAATATTCAAATCACGTTTAACTAAAGAAAGAAATTGTGTACATACATGTTATATACATGGTTATAGAAAACACCAAACGTTTTTTCTTTTGTTTTTGATCATCTTCATTTTATAAAGAATTTACTAATAACAAGACGTGATGTAGGTTGGCTGAAAATTTGGCGCTTAACACTCACAAATCTTGAACTTTGCCATTGCATGAACTACTCACTCATCATTAATTTAGTATGCTAATGCCTTCAATGATCATCAATCAAACGTTGGTTAAGAACTAAATAGGTCTCGTAAAACGTATAATATTCCCCTACAAAGATTTCTGTCACCTCAAATGCGGGCCTGTGTAGCTTCATGCGAACGCACGCAATTCGCTACAAGTAACATTCAAAGAATTACTTCTATGTCGTGTGCCTGCCGACAGAGCCCCGTGAAGGTATTGCCCATAAACAATAACGATCGTCGTTTACCATTACTGTCATTTTTCAAACTATTCCGTCAATTTCTGTGTTTAGCATTTCATAACTTTTCTTCGAGTGAGTGAGGTCATTGGAGTCTGAAGCCTCCCTGCCTCCTCCGGGAGTTAGACTTAAAGGGTAGCAACGCACTTTTGACTTTCGAGTTGTAGGTGTCTTTGGGCAGCGGTAGTCACTTACCATCAGGAGACTGGTCTGCTGGTTTGCCTCCTATGCCTCAAAAAAGTCAATCAAAAGTTACCTACACAGTTGGTCAGATTATAAGCAATAGATCGAGAGGGTTAGCGTCTCATAACTATTAGTCAATTTGGCAATTGCATGGAAGTCTTATTTTATAACCTCTATGGTAAATAAAATAGTTCTAATATCAATATTTACCATTTTCAGGGCATTGACCAAAGCACTTTCCGTGATGTGATGCATAACACATTCGATTTGGTCACTGAGGAAGCTATTCTCGAACGCATGTGGATAACTTGGGAGCGTGGAGCTGCTGGTGGTGAGGGGTCATTAAGATTTGAGTCTTGGGTCAGAGGACTGAGTGTACTACTGAGGGGTAATATGGAAGAAAGAAGAATGTACTGTTTTAAGGTGTATGACTTGAACAATGATGGGTTTATCACGAGAGATGAGATGTTTTCGTTGCTTAGGTAAGGATTGTTCTTTAATTGAATTTGGTTTGAGGATTTCTACAATCCTTGTGTAAAGAAAGTGACTAGCAGCGGATGGATGCGGACTGCCAAAGACCGTAATTGTTGATGCTCCTTCTGGAAGACCTTCGTTCAGAATTAAATACTGCAATTTTTGTGTAAACAAAATGGCTGTCAGAAGATGGATGCGGATTGCCTAGGACTAGGATAGTTAGCACTCCTTGGAGAATGCCTTCCTTAAGCAGTGGAGGGCGAAATACTAGTGATGATGATGCATTCTTGTATCTTAAGAAAGAACTGCAGTGTTTCAATCTTCCAAACAAATACAGTTATTCAAAAACAACGATGTTGTCGACTCTGTAGACTTGCCATACCATAATAGATCAAGATATGCGCTGGGCTAGGCCCCTGTAGTCTTTATAACACAATTTATAGGTTTAAGTTTTCTGCAATTCTTATCTTCAATATTTAAAACCTTATATTTAACCTTTACCTTATATTTAAATTTATGAGACATTTTCTAAAACAAAACATAACAAATACACTAATTACTCTTGTTTTATAACCTAACAGATACAACAAAAACAATACCTTGTATTATTTGTTATAGGAATGCTTTACTAAAGCAACCAGGCGATGAAGACCCTGATGAAGGAGTTAGAGATTTGGTAGAATTAGTACTCAGAAAGTTGGACGTCGATAAAGATGGAGTGGTGTCTATTGACGATTATAGGTAAGTGGTTTAGCCAGAGGTTTAAGAATTCGATTGCTATTCTGTGCCTGGGTATAATTTATTTAAAACTAGCTTTTGCGGTTACCGTTTGTCGTTTATCGCGGCAAAAGTAGTTAAAAATCAAACTATAACGGTTATAGTTTGATTTTTAACTACTTTGGTGATAGTGTAACCATACATAATTTCATCTAAATCCGTTCTGCGGTTTAAACGTGAACAGATAGACAAACAGACTTTCGCATTTATAATATTAGTATGGATATGTATGGTTGTACACCTTCTTAAATTCAAGTATTCACAGTATACGAACATAAAGAATAGGTATTTATTTATTTATATATGTGTAAGTTTATTATATTGTAATTATATAATATATATGTGTGTAATTGTATGAAATATGTTATGTTATTATATGTTTAGTTTTACGAGTATATGCTTATTGATATAGAAAAATATTTACAATCAGTGATTACAATTGTAACCTCGGTGCACCTACTACTATTTCTACACCACTTCAAACTTGGCTGGTAGAGAATGCATTAAGTCCACCGATGTACATAAGTGCATGACGTAAAATAAAATAAAATAAATAAATAAATATGTATGTGTACCTTTGTAAGTATGGTTACCAGCAGTGTGTGTGTGTGTGTTAATATAGTACAGGGACCATCCGATCCGAAACTAGACGTGTGTGCGTATCAGATGGCCGTGTCTGAGGTATCTCAAGTCATAATTGTTTGTTATTACTGCTGTTATAAGCTTCACATGACCTATTTTTAGGTAGATAACACACCAGCTTCTAAACCATCAGAAGGCGCCACGGCTACTTTCCGAAGATCTGGAAGGAAGCTGTGGTGGTGGTACTGAGGAAACCGGGTAGGGACTCGTACGCCGTCCCCAAATCTTACAGACCGATTGGGCTATTGCCTGTGTTGGGGAAGGTGTACGAGAGGATGCTGATTGCTCGCCTTAAATATCATCTGTTGCCGAAAATCAGTACTCGCCAATACGGCTTTATGCCCCAGAGGAGCACCGAGGACGCCCTCTATGACCTAATGGGGTACATAAGGGCTAGACTTGCTGAAAAGAGAATGGTCCTTATGGTGTCCTTGGACATAGAGGGCGCCTTCGATAGCGCCTGGTGGCCAGCTATTAAGCTACGTCTGGCTGAGGAAAGGTGTCCGGTAAACCTGAGGCGAGTAATCAGCAGCTACTTCAGCGGCAGAAGGGTGAGGGTCAGGTATGCCGGAGAGGAGTGTGGCCGCTCCACGGAAAAGGGTTGCGTCCAAGGGTCGATAGGAGGACCCCTGCTGTGGAATATCTTATTGGATCCCCTACTGCATCAGCTGGAGAATGGGGCGGTTTACGTTCAGGCATTCGCGGACGATGTGGTGTTGGTTTTCGATGGGGGTACGGCTCTGGAGATTGAGAGGCAAGCCAATGCCTCTCTCGAGCATGTGCGGGAGTGGGGGATCGGAATGAAGCTGAAATTCGCACCGCACAAAACTTGTGCGATGGTAATCACGCGGAAGCTGAAGTTCGATCTCCCGCGCCTCAGCATGGGCGGGATAGACATTGGATTGTCAAAGGAAATCAAAATCCTGGGGCTCACCATTGATCACAAGCTCACTTTCAACACACACATAACAAATGTATGCAGAAAGGCGATCGGAATATACCAAAAGCTGGCACGGATGGCTCGGATTAGCTGGGGGCTTCACCCTGAGGTGATTCGAGCTATCTATGTCGCAGCAGTAGAACCCGTAATCTTGTACGGCGCGGGCAGCTGGTGTGCCGCGGCAAAGGGGCTTGGTGTCCGAAAACAACTAAACGTGGTACAGCGTGGATTCGCCCAAAAGCTGTGTAAGAGCTATCGGACGGTCTCTCTGCACTCAGCGCTGATCCTGGCCGGTCTGCTCCCTCTGGACCTTAGAGTTCGCGAGGTGGCTTCGCTTTACGAGGCCAAGAGAGGGGTGGCCCAGTCATGGTTGGGAGACAGAGAGATCGAACGAATGACTCCAGCTATAGAGATGCCACACCCCGCGGAGCATGGGACCCTGGAGTTCAAAAGTTTGGTAGACGAGGAACAATTAAAGAGTACCATTAAGACAGAGGTGCGCATTTTTACGGACGGGAGCAAGATTGAGGGCCGGGTCGGCGCAGCGTTATCCATTTGGAATGGCGAAGCCGAAACCAGGGCCCTCAAACTTGTTCTCTCATCCCATTGCACCGTCTACCAGGCTGAACTTTTGGCCCTATGCAAAGCGGCCAGTGAGGTTCTCAGGCGAGGCGAGACCACGTTTGGCATCTTCAGTGACAGCAGAGCCGCACTCCTGACGGTCATTAACTGTCATGCCCTCCATCCCCTGGCGGTAGAGGCCAGAGGCGCCATTCGGCAAGGCATGGCCCAGGGTAAGGAAATATCCTTATTCTGGGTCAAGGCCCACGCGGGGTTGGCGGGCAATGAGCGAGCGGACCAGCTCGCCAAGGAGGCGGCTCTGGGGCTGAAGAAAGCACCGGACTACGGTTTGTGCCCTGTTTCATTCGTGAAGCGTGGTCTTCGACAGGCCACGCTTGGCGAGTGGAACAAGAGGTACAAAGAGGGCGAGACCGCCTCCGTTACCAAGCTCTTCTTCCCCTGCGCACTGGCCGCATACGGCGTCGTTCGTAAGTTGGAGATCGCCGGCACTACAACCCAGCTATTTACGGGGCATGGTGGGTTCTCTGAATACTTGACGCGATTCAAATGTAAAGAGAACCCATCATGCATTTGTGACCCGAATGTCGACGAAACGGTCCCCCACCTGATCGTGGAGTGCCCTGCCTTCGACAGGCAGAGGTTTGACGTCGAACGGGCAATAGATACTAAATTAAAAATTGAAAATTTGAATAAAATAGTGGAAAGTAAAAATAGAAACTTGTTCATAAAATACTGTACAGAAATAATAAAAATAGTAAATAAAAGGAATAGAGTTTAAGAATATATGTTACAAAATAATATTATATTATTGTTGTTAACCATATAGTAAGATAGCAAGTAAGTAGAGTGTAAGCTGTATAGTATAAAAATGTGTAAAATATTAAAGTTGTCATAAGTTTGTTTAGTCGTAAGTGATGTACAATAATAAGTATAGCATAAGTATCAATGTCAAAGTGTCAAGCACTGAGAAACTAGAATTATTAGTATAACAATAGTATTAATGTGTAAATAAAAACTGTCTTGAAAAAATTACTTACCTGCTACGAAACTAAATAAATAAAAATAAGCTTAGTTAGAATTACAGGAATCCCACCTGGACAGAATGAATACAGAGTGAATGTGTGGTATGCGGAATGAAATTACGAGAAGTAGCAACAGCGAGAAATTGTATGTATGGACTGACTAGCGTAGAATAGGCTCCGAACAGCATCGGAGGTGTACGTAAATAAAAAAAAAAAAAAAAAAAAAAAAAAAAAAAAAAAACCATCAGAAGGAGAAGAAGATTTGATCTTCAATCATACCGGTTTTTTGGCATCTGGTGACGTTATTCCTATTACTTAGCATGCTTTTTGAATCCTGGACATGGAGTTAAAATGATCTCAAACGTAATATCACTTCAGTTTTACGATTTACATAATTAAAAAAAGACCTATTCAAATCGCAGTTTCCCTACAGTGAAACGTACTGCCGTGTAGGAAAGGAAACTGCAAAAACTTGCTTGGCAAGGAGTAACTGCAACACAGTGTTTCCCCTTTCAGACAAGCTGTGGAACAAGAGCCTCTTCTTCTTGAAGCATTTGGACAATGTCTACCCTCGAAGAGACATGCACTGACTTTCCTGAAGACCCTCACAAACAAGACGTAAAATCGCATTAGTGTTACATTTTTTCTTGTTATGCGGTTGTTTTAAGTTTAAGTGAAATGTTGTATTCTCTTTTCGTAACATGTTGGGTAAACCCTTGTCTCTAAGTTTAGTAAGATTCCCTTTTCGTTTTTTGCGTTCTCTAATTCTTTGTAGTAGAAGTTAAGAAAGTAAAAGTTTTCTAAAATAATTATCCATTTTATATATTACGTAACATTTTATATATTACGTAAATGACTTACGACGAGCCTGTTGGTATACTGGTTAGCGGTCCTGCTTGCTTAGCCAAAATTCGTGGGTTCGATGCCCACCCGGAACAAAAGGTTGTGTAATAAACACGATCATTTGTTTTGTCTGGATGTAATTTAATAGTATGGAGGTATTTATAAATATATAATAATTGTTTATTAGCGGCCTAGTTGACATAGTACAGGCTCTGACTAGTTTGGGATCGCACTGCCGTGTATGTGTTTGTTCTAATAAAAAAAAACCTTTTTGATAAAGTAATAGATAAAGATATCTTCCAAAATAAGAATAACTCATAATTGATTATATGCATAACATTTTATAAAGTTAAGCCTTAGTTTCCAAGTATAGCTGATGTAAGTTTAATTGATGTATTGAATAAATCTGATTGTACAAATTATTTAAGCGATTAATATCTTCGTAGATAAGAGAAATTCTATTATGATAATATAGCTTAATTAATAATTCAGTTTTAAATATCATTACTAGTGAACTTCGTTTAATGTAAAGTACTTATGTTTTGTTAAGAAAAAAAAACTTGTGTAAAATCTTTTGTCTTTTACTTTTTATTTTACGAATATAAAATGTAACTACATTTATGTATTTAGTTATGCACATACACAAGTTATGTATTTGATCTAAATAGATTAAATACATAACTTGCAATTTAAATGTATTGGAGACTGAATCAATTTAAAGGCCCTAATATAGTTCCCTGGGGTATCCTATAATATATTTTTTTAATATTTGAATCAGAACAGGGTTTTAAATAAAATCATTCATAAGATAACAATGTTTTATATAAAACTACAAATGCTTTGTGTATAGTATTACTAAATAAAAGGTTTAGTCGTGTGGGTCCAAACCAGTTCCTATGAAGTCTGTCATGATCTTCCCGGCGGCAGGAGGTAGGAGACCGAATATCTGAAAGCGAAGAATCAGAAGTTTAATATAACAAATAACATCAGCGAATCCAATCTAAAGATAAGACACCATTAAGAAATTTACTTTCTGATCTATAATTATCATACCTTGAGAGAAGTGAAATAGTCATTACATTGGTTTATGCTTTCAAAGGCTTAAGTATAAACTAAGTATGTGATTTTAAACACCATATTTAGTTTATATTTATTTAAAATTCATTAAATGATTTATTGTTGTTGTTATATAACACAGCTGTGAATTTAGATTGTCAACTTTAATTCGTGAAAAAATGTGTAATTACGTTTGTGCATTGGTCTTTATTTGATATTTCATTTAGCTGTTTCAAAAGCAATCGAAGCTCTATGCATAAGCAGAAAAACTACTCAATCATTGATATTTATTGCTTTTTACATTGCATTTGTTTAATTATGACGTCATCGCAGAATCTAGACTAATATTATAGAGCTGATTAATTTGTTTGTTGTTTGGTTGAACGCGCTTTCAGGAACTACTGGTTCGAAGAAAACAATTCATTTAGTGTTGGATAGTCTATTTATCGAAAAAGGCTGTAGGTTGTGTAACATCACGTTACGACCAATAGACGCTAAGCATCAATGAAAAATGGTGCAAAAACGGAAAAAAAAAAATACTTTTGAGAGGCACGACGTGGATGGGTCAACTAGTGTTTAGAATAAAACAAGCAAGTAAAAAGTGTGTACAACAAAAAAGATCTTGTCGAACATAAAAAGAAAAAGATTTAAACCTGAAAAATAGTTCCAGAAATTAGCACACAATAAGAAATAATTCAGCTTTATTGTTTTAAAAACCCGTTCCGTCCACACGTGGTCACAGCATGACCATGACCATTGGTCCTAGATCTCGTCCAAGGTTAACCAAAACATTCTTACCTTATTAGTATAATACATGTCACTAGGAATGGTGATCTCGTGGTATTCTCTTCGGATGGCGTCCACAATCTGGTCGGCAGCTTCGCCGGGTTCCACAGTCTTCATCAGCTTTTGGAAACGAATGCGAGGATTGTGACATAAGCCCGTGTTCACGATGTATGGACAGACTGTTGTAAACTTAATCTGAAAAAAAAACCATCTATTTAATTAAAATTATATAACTCACGTATATCCGTGTGGTGACGGATTAAGAATACAAATTGTCATCACCCCAATTCATCCCGTGGGTGTCGTAAGAGCCGACTAAGGGAGCAAACTAAGCAGGACAACAGCACTGCAAAGAGAAGGAAAACTTGAAACAAACCCTATACCAACCCGTCTGGCCAGCGTGGTATAGTATTCCAAAACCTCCTTTCTAAGGAGAGGCCTATGTCCAGCAGTGGACTAGTATAGGCTGTTGATGATTGATGACGTATAATGAAAATAAATACTAAAAATATTTTGTGATCTACCAGCCCTTTCAACTATGATGTACTCAGAAAAGCTATTCCATGTAGTTGAAACCTTGTTAAATTGGATTTAGCAATTGGATTTTAATTATTAATATACTAATTGTTTACTTTATTATCTCATTTATTTACCACGTATTCGCAGCAAAAGCAATTAATTTCTATAAATAGCCAACTGATTAACATGCCAGGTGTAATTTCTGACACATCAACACAATAAAATTCAACATTAAATAACAACTCTTTGTACTTTTTGTAATTTATTATTTTCCACCGTTTTTTTAAATCATATACTGATTGCAAAAACAATGTAAACTCTAATCCAAATGATTTGGTAGCACAAATTTATTATTTTATTTCAATAAAATTACAATACTAGGACACTATACTAGGATACAATGCTAGGACGACTGTTGATCTGAACTGTGATTCTTAAATATTTTTTTTTAAAATTACTTGTGCTGTCTGACTGATTCATTAACGCAGACCCTAAACCGCTGGGTCTACAAATTTTGGCAAGTAATACTTCTTATGTTGTAAACACCTACTGAGAAAGGATTTTTGGAAGTGTTTCCCAATGGGGTAAAGTAAGAGATGAATGGTTCGAAAAGTTTCGTAAGTTTCAAAGTTAAAAACACCGCTTACAATATCTAGTTTAGACTAAAAGAAAACATAGTTCATTCCTTATTCAAATTTACTTTCCTAGAAAAATGAACAACATATATTTTTTAGCTTACTCTTGCAGTTGTTTATGTATGCTACTTGTATTAAAATATGTGTGAAGATCTTCAATTATGGTACGTACCCCGTTAGTATCTCTGGGGTCTTCATGCAGTTCGACAGAAAGTGCTTCCATGATGCCCCTAACTCCGTATTTGCTGCCGCAGTATGGTACCAAGTTACGTAGTCCCATCTTGCCAGCCATGGATGACATGGAGACTATATGACCATAGTTACGCTCCAGCATCGCTGGTAAAAAGGCTTGGATCATCTGAAACGAGAAATAAAAGACTGTTGAAAAAAAATGTTTTGATGATCTCTTGTTTGAATTTTAAGATATAGAAGAACAAGTGATTGGACATGGTGTAAAAATATTGGTCCAGACAAGAGTTTAGTATAACTATAATATTAACAGTACTTTATTTTTTTATATTTTGCTTTTGAAGAGGTAACAGATAGTATGGATTGGAATATCATATTATGTTAATTTTTTTAGTTAAATTTACAAGTTAAGAAATAATGTCATGTCTCACGGAAGTTGCCATTCCTAGGTAGTATATATTTATATATATATATATTTATATGTGTGTCGTTTACGTAAGGTTCTAGAAGTTTTTATCGTTTTATTTTATTGTTACTAATTACTGAGTTGAACTCTATAAACTTGACTATTGTATACACATGTAGTCTTTTATTTGCTTAATGACAAATTTATTGGTTTATATCTTTACGACTTACTAAGATATAAAAATGCAACATATACGTCGTGTCCAAGATATTAAATATTTTCCTCAATTTATAGGTTTGTAATACAACTGACGTCATGTAAATATAATCATGAATGTGTTAATAAAACTAATTGTGTTTGATGATGAAATCTTAATAATCAAACACGTAAATACGGGCTGACAGATCGAAAATATTTATAATTGTATTATTCGGTTAAATATTTAATTATAAATAAAATAAAATATAATATAAAATTAAATAAAATAAATCCTAAGTAAATAATAATACATATATGTCATATTTATTAATTTACAAAATAAATATGGGGTCTACCAATAAGAACGTCCTAGTCTAAAAATTGAATAAAACACACAATTTTTTATGAAAAATGCATCCGATTGATTTATTTGATAGATAATTTTATGCAATTTATGTTTTAAATAATATATCGGCCAAATGACCGCCGCGGCTCTTTTTGCAGACGGTCACCCGCTCACGCCAATTTTCGATGACGCGGTGCACCATTTCGGCCGGTATGTCGGCTATGGCTCGTCGATCGATATCAGGGCCTCAATTCTGCTATTTTATGTTTACGCCAAGCCAGTGTCATACCACTGACACCCTATTGAGATGCCATCGAGTAGCAAAGTAAGAAAAATATTTAAATAAATAAGTCATTTCCTTATAATTTGAAAATATATTACGTTTTTGAGGAAATGATTTTCTAGTTTTTTTATTTTAATAATTTATTTAGTTCTTTTTTTATAATTTTTATATTTTATTCTTTAATAATTTATTTAATTATTTTTTTTTTTATGTTTTTTTTTTTTATTATTATTATTTTAATTTATTATAATAAAAACAAATAAATCATTTCCTCAAAAAACGTAATATATTTTCAACTACCGATATTTATACCGATGCCAATGGCTACTCGATGGCATCTCAATAGCGTGTCAGTGGTATGACACTGGCTTGGCGTAATAGCAGAATTGAGGCCCAGATCGATATCAGGATGGCAAAAACTCGGCAGACTTTTAAATTTGTTGCGGAAACATTTATTAAACTCCTTATCAAATCTTACGTAATTTTTTACTCTCTCTTCTAGAATTTATTTATTGTAAATGTCTTATTAAGTAAAAATTATTCTAATGTAATTCATATAAGTACCCCGGGTATATATATATATATATATATATACTAGCTGACCCGGCAAACGTTGTTTTGCCATATACATTATTTCTAGGAAATATTAAAAAAAAAATAGGGGTGAGTCGGGTCACCCTTATCATTTAGGAGTATGAAAAATTGATGTTGGCCGATTCTCAGACCTACCCGATGTGCACACAAAATTTCATAAAAATCGGTCCACCCGTTCGGAGGAGTATGGTAACTAACACTGTGACACGAGAATTTTATATATGAGATATATATTTTTATACATAATTTATAGTAGGCCAAAACCTCCTTCCTAAGGCTCTCCTTAGGAAGCCTCCTCCCTCGCCTATGTCCAGCAGTGGACTAGTAAAGGCTGTTGATGTGATATACATAATTATATGTACATATGTTTTAGTGATAAGCGATGCGAGAAGCCCAAAATCGATCTAAGTGGCGTGCAATGGGAGAGGCCTATGTCCAGCAGTGGACTGCGATAGGCTGATGATGATGATAATGATGTATAAGTTTGTATGTCTATATAAATATTTATGTATTGTGTGTGTTAGTATCATTATCACTTATTGTATATGTATTATTAAGTAAAAAATATTCTAATGTAATTATTATAAGTACTCTGGGTGTATGATATATGCTATATTTTTCATAAAATCACATTTTAAACCTTACTTGGTACCTTGGTAGATGCATAGAAATTCATCTACCATGTTTTAGCTCTGCGTCGCCCTAAGGTTGAGTGGGAGAAAATGCCTACGGCATTAAGTCCGCCTTTGTCTCATAAAGTATAAATAAATAAAATAAATAAGTATTAAAATTAAGTAGAAGCTCTCTCCGCGCCTGACAGGGTTCATGGCGCACTGTAAAACCCAATGTAACATCTCTATAACGTTATGGTGTGCAGTAAAGCATTGAGCTACAAAACATAGGTCTGTATATCAAAAAGAAAAAGTCTACATTACTATTCAAGTATTATGTTGTTTCATCTCCATACATCAAAACACCGAACTTATTGAAATAAATAGAAAAAATCTGCGAAATTATTTTTTTAAGCAACTTTTTTTAGTTTCCTTTGAAATATAAAAGCCTTAGCAATATTTATATTAAACTCAGTGCTTGGATTTTAAATGAAATGAAAATTACGTAAGATTAAAGAAATATTTTGTGTTGAAAAAATGCAAGAAGTAGCAGTATCTTTGTCTTTGGGTTCTAAGTCGTAACAATTCACACTTACCCAGAGAATACCGTTCACATTGATATCCATCATTGTCCTGATTTCTTTCTCAGAGTGTTTCAGAACGGGCTTGCAGGGCATGATGCCGGCGTTGTTGATCAAGATGGTTACTTCTCCAACTTGAACGCTCACTTTCTCTGCCAGTTCCATGACGGCAGATCGGTTTGTGACGTCACATCTGGAAGAAATATTTGTATTGTATTTATATTAGTTTAAGTAAGAATTATTAAATATGCGTCAATTTAAAGGGGAGGTTTTTTGCTAAAACCGGTTGAAATTGTAATTTGAGAATCAAATGAAACGTTCGGAGGCATCATTCTCGGTATATACCTACTTGTTACGGAAATTTGATTTTATTTTCACCGGTACTTTACTGATATATAAACTTCCCTTAGCCCCGGTGATGTTATGACCCGTGGGTGTTTCATTAAAAGAAAAAGCCTTAGTACCGCCTTGTTATTATATTTCATTTCAACATTTTCAATATCCAAAGCTCTTAAATAATCATGTACTTGCTGTGTGTTGTATAAAGAACACGCGGATGTCCTACACAATTATTTTATATGATTTCAAAAAAAGATTAGACTTATGGCGGGATATGTTTATGACGTGATATTTGAATCGTATCTTTCATATTTAACTTAACTATTCTCTAAATCTTATACAATTTCTTACTTACTTAAAGTTACTTAAGATTTTTTGATTAAAGGTGAAGAAACGCCTTACTCTCTAAATGTATGCATACACTCGTGATTTCAGGAGATATCTTTTCGAAGGAATTGGAAAGGGCAGGTATGATTGATAGCTCTAGTAAATAGGAATAGCAGAATGGGAATCCTAGGCATCAACATATCGAGCGAAGTCTAGTTTCGAGGTTATTTAGAGGGCAAGGTCAAATTCGCTTCGAAGTAGCTGAATGTGCCGAACAGATCGAGGCAGTATTTCAGTCCGGCCCATTGCCTACAACTCTATAAGGCACAAGTACGGTCGCATATAGAATACTGTTCTCATCTCTATGCAGGGGCACCCCAGTATCAGCTTCTATCTCTGGACCGTACCCAACAAAGTGCTACTCGAATCGTCGATAGCCAAAAGCACACTTGGCATAAAGAAAACTTGACGCAAATCCAATACAAACCCGTCTGCCCGCCGTGGCATAGTAGGCCAAAACCTCCTTTCTAAGGAAATGCCTATATCCAACAGTGGAGTATTAAGGCTATTGTTTATGATGATGCATAGTTGTAATATCAAACGCTACCAGTTGAGAAGTTCAAACCTTCTAAGAGTGACTATTGTTAAATAAAATACACAAGAGTTACTGAAGTTATAGTCATTATGTATGTCGACCGGATGGCGAAGTGATTTGTGCAACAGGAAGTCTGTTGCACAAATCCAAAGGTCGCGGATTCGATTCCCGCTCAAGTCCAACATTTGTGTGCATGAACATTTAATGTTTGATTTGGTCTGGGTGTTTTTATGTATGATATGCATGTGTTTACAAAAAAAAGTACATATGTATTTATATCAGTTGTCTAGTACCCATAGTAAAAGCTTTGCTTAGTTTGGGACTAGATGGCGTTGTGTGAATGTAGTAGAATATATGTATATTTTTGCGTCATCATATTCCAAATGTTCTACGTTCTCTAAAACATCCAAGGTGTACTTACTCATAATTAAAAGCTTCTCCTTTCTCTTGCTTGATTAGTTTGACTGTCTCTTCGTTTCCTTTGGGATTGATGTCCACGCATACGATTTTGGCACCGAGGCGGCCGAACCGCAGAGCCATCTCTCGACCCATGCCATGACCGGCACCAGTTATCTGAATGAATAAACGTTATAAATGACAATTGATCAATTTTCTTGCTGAACCCCGTTATTGCCTTCATTTTATTATTTCTTTAGACGCAATGGTCATTGGTTCTAATTCTATTGTTCGAAAACTCTCTAAACTAAACTAAAAATCGCTAAAAAATATTTTTGTCCTGTCAAATATTACGTTTTCAGAATAGAAAACATTGTTTTACAGGTCTAAACAATTTTTTTGTGATTTTTAGTTTAGTTTAGAGAGTTTTCGAGTTTATTCCGTGGGAGTCATAAGAGTCGACTAAGGGCGCAAACTACGTAGAACAACATCCTGGCAAAGAGAAGGAATACTTAAAAAAAACTCTAAAGCAAGCTCTAATCTAATCTAAAGTATGCCAAAATCTCCTTTCTAAGGAGAGGCCTATGACCAGCAGTGGACTATTAAAGGCTGTTGATGATGATGTTGATAAATTATTGAAGGCCAGGCCGTGATATGATGAGTGTAGATTATGTATGCTGGACAAATTACGCCGTAGTTGATCTTGGTTTCACCTACCGTAATTTCCAAATAAATCAAATTTAAGTGGGGAGGAGAGAGGGGACGTGTGTATGAAACATCAAAAATTTGATGCCATAGGTCCTATGCATGAGCTTTGAACAACCTAGCAGTTAGATTGATATAGATAGTTCAACTCAGTTGTGCGCGCGGCCCTATGTGTGCGTGGGCTTGTAAATATACAACTTTCATTCGTGTGGCAGTCGTCGTCCGACTGCCGCGTACAACTGAGTTGAACTATCTATAGCGACTGCGAATGATGCAAATGTGCGCATTGACCTGTAATGATTTTTTTTTCATTTGGCAATGTGTACTTGCATTAAGACAAGATTATGTAAACTCAACTTAACTGTTAGATAGTTTTTTATAAATTATCAATAACATATTTTTTAAAAGCGATGTAAACCATTTAACTCATTAATAAGTAAAATAAATAGTATTTTTTTCATTAGAAATAAATAATATTTCTAATAATATCATGCCTCCATTTATGGCTTTCATCATCATCAACAGCCTTTACTAGTCCACTGCTGGACATAGGCCTCTCCTTAGAAAAGAGGTTAGCTTTAGTGATAATTTTTTTTTTTTATCTGAATTGCTTAAAAGGAGGTCTTAATAAAATAGTTAATTATTAGTTTTATTATGTAGTGAAGTAACTAAAAATAAATAGGTTCGCTTTTGGAAAGATTTAAAATGGTCACCAACAATTTGTATGAGGATTTTTTATTCTTGTATCTAACAACGAAGAATCATGACATTAATTTCGTGATAAGATACGTCTCGTAAATAATGAGCGGCTTTATTGGCCTATCATTACTAACATGTAACAATCGGGCGTTGATAATTATAATTATAGTTTACTAGCACTTGCCTGCGGATACGCCCGCGGGCAAAGGTGTGTTCGAAAAAACTTCATTAAATAGTTAACTTTAAAAAAAAAACTAAGTGATTTCAATGCTAGGTGCTCACTGTAATAAATTGTGATAAAAACTGTATACTTCATTCCCTAATTTTCACCCTCAGGCGTAGTATTTTTTATTCAAACTTGTATTGGAACGTGAAGTATAACTACCCTACCTAATAACAAAGGATTTCCAATATGGTTCATGAATGAAGGAGTTCTTTCAACGTAGCAAACAAAAAAAAATTGCAATGAGAACCTCCTACTTTTAAAGAAGTTGGATGTCCCTTAGAGGTTGCGAGAAAGAACCTTTATTTAAATAATTACATTGTTGGTATCGCAAAAAATTTGATCTATTATTAATCTCTATATAGACAAGGCACTCCCGTTTTGACAGGTGAGGCCATCTGTCACCCTAGCAGAAGCAGGCCGCACAGGGAAGCACAGGGAACATTTTCTGACTGTCGTGATATTACTCCAGTCATCATGTGCGGAAGTATGGCTCTCAAATGGTTAAAGTACTAACTATTATATATACTACTGATGTATCCGAAATTATCCAATATCTATTAATTTTTTTCACCGTATATTTGTTTCACTTCATCTGATATCTTTAAAGTAACTTCTGGCAAAGCCTTTTTAAAATGGTCATGAATGAAAAATAATGGTCTTATGAATGAAAACATGATCTTTTGAATGAAAAATAACTGATATCGATAAATGCATCAGTTTTGTGTTAGAACTTCCCCTGTATTAGTCACACTCCAGTGTTGTGGTTCAGTGGTGTCGTTTACATTACACGCCTTTGTTAAACTGACTTCAAAAAATAGAGGAGGCGTTCAATTTGTTTGTACTTTTTATGTTTGTTACTTCAGAATTCCTTCATTTATGAACCGTTAGGTTATTTTTTTTTTTTAAATACTACTCCTAGCGGAGGAAAATAAAGAATTAACAAAGGAATATACTTACTTAAGTTAAGGAATATACTTACTTAAATATAGTTACAAAATACTTTTGAAAGCTAATTCTTATGTTGTTGTACCTACTAGAAATTTTGTACTTGTTTGTACCAACATTTTCATTACCATGGTAACATTTTGATACTCATACTTGACAATATGCACTAAATTACATGTAATATATTTAAAGAAACTTACCAGAATGATATCGTCACTGACATCCTTAGGATCTGATGGTATCACCATTCTAAACGTTGACTTCAGTACTTCATAGTTCACTTTTATGATCATCCATATTACTTCGAAGAACACTCTGATCGCGTAGATAATCTGTGGTTCGTCAGCCCTAAAATAACGCATTGCACTATAATTAAATTTAAATTAAAAACAAACTGTTATGATTTAAAATTGGAATTGGCACACGGCCAGCGTCAATGAAATCTCAACGAGAATACCTACAGATTTTATTATTCGCCGTAAAGGAACATGAATAAAGGCGTGTTCAAACTGTTTTAAGCCCTAACAGCACCAACTATTAATTTAATAATTTAATTTTGGAACTAAATGTTAGTCTTATACAGTTCATTTTTTATTGTAGTTATTAATTCATCAACACATTGCTGTAACTCATCATTCTATTCTTAAAAAGCTCTGTGAGGAAAATGACTAAGAAAGATAATATATATCGCCTATTTTTGTTATTCACGCTTTTGTTTTGGCCTCCTCACGTTATCCACAATATTCTTATGACTAAACATTTTTTTGCTTATTTCCCAATAATATTTTAATCTTTCTTTTCTTTCTTATGGTGCAATATGGGGCAACCAGTTTCTCTATGTTTGAAACTATGTTCGGAAAACAGCTAAAACCCTTTGCAACGTTTCATATTGCGCCAACTCTAAATTGAATTGGAAGAAGTCAGGAAAATGTTGATGAGCCAACATATCAGCTATAAATGTCAGTGATTGCAAAATATATGTTATGCTCCAGGCCAAAACCTCCTTTCTAAGGAGAGGTCTATGTCCAGCAGTGGACTAGTAAAGGCTGTTGATAATGATGATGATGATTAACAGTGTCTCACATCTACAAAACATCAACAGATTTTACACAAAAAACTAACCTGTATAACTACACAGGTTAGTTTTTTGTGGTACTACGAGTACTATTATTATACAAGGAAAGAAATAATTTATTTATATGGGTTCATAATCGGCATAAGAGATTTACAAAATAATTTTAAAGGCAAAGGCTAGTAATTATATATCACTAGCTCTTGTCTGTTCGCGTGTTTTATTTCGTGGTTCTAACTTTTAAAATGACGAACGCCCAATCATCCCTTATTTTCAGCTGCCAAAATTTGTAGTCCTAGCAGTTTAGACTCTGCGTTGATGAAGTAAGTAATCTTTATATATATAATTCTTCTGTGAGTGTGTATGTCACTGAACTTCTCTCAAACGACTGGACCGATTTTGATGAAATTTTTTGTGTGTGTTCAAGGGGATCTGGGAATGGTTTAGATTCACAATTTTGTCCGCTGGACAATGTTTTTTTAATTAATTTTTAATTTATTAGTAGTTGTTGATTTTGGAATGTTTTACATTGGATCAGACAGACGGCGCTACCATCGCAGTGTCAAATTTGACAGGACAACGTCTGTCGGGTCCGCTAGTTTTATATATATTTATAGAACGCGATAATTTAAAAGTGAGTATGAAAAATTACCGTTAGTTCTTCAGCGTAATGCCACTTAGAGTGATATTACATTGACTAACCCATAGTAATATACGTATACAGATGATGAACTGTTAGTTTATTACGATGAAATGATGATATAATGGGTATATTTATTTATTTCAATACATTGAAATCTTACACCTATATGTAAACATTAGTAAAATGAAACTGATTAATCATCTGAGAGGCAATTGCAGTTTTCACTTCTAGTTTTAGACTTATTGTTAGCAAAAAGGTTAAAAACAAAAAAGAAAAAAACACAGTGACTGAGTTAGCGTTAACATTATGTTACTTTATGCCTATTTTTAACAAAATGGTTTAGACCCCTTTATATTCAACAAACAATAAAAATAAAAATGTAGAAACAATTAATTTTAGTAAGTGTTAGATTCTTAGTAAATATAAGTTTTAATAGTTATCTAAAGCACATATTTGTGTGTCTTGATAACAACATAGTAAGTACAAAGTACCTACACATAAATTGATTTGATTATTTTAATACCTATAAACACTCATTAGTATTAGTGAACACTGACACTAAAACTATCATCAGACCTGCCGTCCTGTATGGTTCTGAAAGTTGGCACATTAAGAGAACTCATGAGAAACGCCTAAACGTAGCCAAAATTCGAATACTGAGACGGATGTGTAGTGTGACTCGTATAGACAAGGTCAGAAATGAGTATATACGAAGGAGTCTGAAAGTACCGCCACTCGATTTAAATTTCAGAACTATTAGGTATTGCAGTTGCAAGGTGCGAGAGCAGAGGAAGACGAAAGAAAAGGAGGATCACTGTGTAAGTGAGGACATGGCTAGGAAGGGAGTAAACAGTGAAATAACGAATGATAGAGTAGAATGCAAAGAGAAGGAAAACTTGAAACAAACCCTAACCAACCCGTCTGGCCAGCGTGGTATAGTAGGCCAAAACCTTCTTTCTAAGGAGAGGCCTATGTCCAGCAGTGGACTAGTATAGGCTGTTGATGAGTAGAATTAAAAAATCGCACTCGTACGTCCTGCGCCGACGCAAAATACAATTGGGATAAGGGTAGGCAGATGATAATGAGTATAAATGTATATTCTCGAAGGGGCAGGGGTATATTAAATATCCATAATTTGACTCGAGTATTAAAATAAAATTTATTAAAATCAATAACAGTAGTTAAAATACATTGGTCGGGACTACAATTTTAGTTCTACTTATGAATAGGGGGAAAGTCTGGTACAATGGAGATTAGGTGGGAAAATTGCATGTATATTAGAAAGAACGGTAGATAAGAAGGAGGGCAATTAGTAGGAAGAGGATGTTGCTTATACCGGTGTATTAAGGAGTATAATATAGCTTAAACAATTCAGTGCCGCATACGTGTATCTCGATTAGTCTCATATCACATCACATCATTCGCCTTTAATAGTCCACTGCAGGATTTATATCCTACAGTGGACTATTAAAGGATGACCTTAGAAAAGTCCCTAGAAAGGAAGTTTTGGCCTAATATATACTACTCTGCCTAGACGGGTTGGTAGTGGTTTGTGTCAAGTTTTCCTTCTCTTTGTAGTTTTGTTGTCTTGCGTAGTTTGCTCCCTTAGTTCCCTTGTTCGTAAGTTACCGTTGTTGAATATCGCTCAAAAATCTGAGCCCTCAATTCAAAATAAGTTTCGAATGAATAAATTTAATTTATATGTACTTTGTAGTGAGAATTGGACACCAACTCATAAATATATTAACCCACACTGATAAATATTTGATTTATCATGATTACCTCAAGTTTTTTAATAAAAATTTCACAACATGTTAGATATGATGGTGTGACATACATTTTTTGTAATTATATTTATCTATTGTAGGCTAACTCTTGTTTGAAAAATTTGTTGCATAAATAAATGCTTATATATTTAAGGTTAATGCTATATTCTCTAGATATAACCGCGTGGCGACGGTTCAAGAATACCTACAGAGTGTAACTATTCACTATTCATCATGTCACCATCCCGTGGGTATCTTCTCAGAGCCGAATAAGGGAGCAAACTACGCAAGCACTGCAAAGAGAAGAAAAACTTGAAACAAACCCTATATCAACCCATATGGCCAGCGTGGTATAGCAGGCCAAACCCTCCTTTCTAAGAAGAGGCCTGTGTCCAGCAGTAGACTATTAAAGTCTGTTGATGATGGTGATGATAAGAAGACACAGTATGAGCATTTTACTTGAGCCAGCTTGTGCCAGTGCAACGTTATCAAAACGTTAGGCAAATCAGAGGTATTAATTACCTAATTATATGACGTCATGAACACAGCCCCGGCTCTACGATATTTTCAAACCAGCGTTTCCAGCGTTTAAGATAAATTACTTAAAAAACTCACAAATATATAAGTTAACTTGTAGTGTGGGCCTGTGCGGCGCCTTTTTCTTACAAGTCGACGGTGAGCCAACCAGGCTTCCGTATGCTAAGAGCTTTGTGGAGCAAGCTTTTTATTTTTAATCACACTGTATTATGATTTTGGCGACCCCCTAGATCCGGGGGCTGCATGAACATCAAAACATTCTAAGTCAGTTAGTCAGCAGACGCTATATACTGTATTCTGAGGCTTTGCTCGCGTTAGAACACTACTTTTTATCGCATTACACTGGCCCGTTGGTCTAATGGTTAGTGACCCTGACTGCCAGCCATAAGCCAGAGGTAGTGGGTTTGTTTCAACCCTGAAAAAATAAATTGTATAATGGGCACGATCATTTGTTCTACGTCTGGGTTATAATTTATCTATAATATGTATGTATTAGAAATATTTGAGTGTGTTTATCAGCAGTCGGGTTATCACAGTACAGGCTTTGCTTATTTTGGGATCCGTGTTTGATAAATGTGAAGTTATAATTAACAGTAATTTATTTTGTATAAGAATGAAAATTAACATAATATTTTTTTTATTTTTTATTTATTATTATATTCTATAATAATGTATAATTTAACCGACTTTAAAAAGGAGGATGATATTTCTTTACATATGTTCCCTCAAATCTTCTTCATTTATGTTTAGCAGAAATAAAAAACTTAACTTCATACAAGTACAAAAAACGATTACCATGTGTAAAGTTCAATTTACTACCTTTAAACTATTATAGTAACGTTTAGAGGCGATAATATACTCTGATTGATTCCCGGAACACTAGTATATTAGAAATATGAAAGAACCTTGAAAAAAATAATAATAATATTTAAAAAAAATAGTGTATGAAGAAACCTTTATAATAATACCAGCTTCACTTGTCAACCTTGAAACATAATTAGACTATGTTCAGATGACGGGCGATGACCGCGCGTTTTGGTAACACGCATTAACGCACGTGGATTATACGGTTTTATCTTGAAGCGCATTTTGACCCGATGCAGTGCAATTGTCTGTGGTTATGGTGACCATTCGTTTACCGTAACATTTTTTTCACAGCATACGTTCGGGGATTTTTTATTAAAAGTATAAAAAATATTGTATTAAATAAAAATAATAAAATATAAGAAATAAATTCAAAGTAATAGGAAAGTTAAAAAGGTCAAAAGCTGGTTGGAGATTTCCAAAATCCAAACGTGATTAAAACCTTTTATTCTACGTAAAGTAAAAGTCTGTTTAAATGTTTTGTTTTGCCCGCCCATTTTCATCGAATAAAACAACACGTGCAACGCATGGCCGTAATCTGAACATAATCTTAAACATGTTGTTGCTACGAGATATGTAAGTAAATTGGATTTATTCTAGTTTTTCGAGGCGAATATGTAAATGATAATTCTAATGGCAATGCCAATTGCTAAAAGTTATCTTAAAAAGGAGAATATTATATTACCAGTTAGGCCTAGTGGACATCTGCCTTTGCAACAGCAGGGTTGCGGTTTTTAATTAGTACGACTATAAGGGCATATATCACCAAAGGGACTGGGTGTAAATAGAAATTTAATATACAAGATAGTTTGTCTTTTGAGTTTAAATTGACTGCACGAATGGCGTAGTGGTTTAAGCGGTCGCCACGCCTCTTACTACTACGCTAACCGCTGTGGGCCCGATTCCCACATGGGACTACACTTTGTGTGAACCACAAATTGTTGTTCTGTCTGAGTTCTTTGTGTCCGTTTCATGTATGTTTGTAAAGTCCCTCGCGACACAGGATATATATATTCCTAACGCGGGAGTTGTCTTTAAAAAAAAAAACTGTCTGAAATATGGGCTCCACCAAGATGGATGAGATAAAAATTATTTCACTCATTAAAATTTTAAAGACGCTTAATAAATGGAGGAGTATTATAATTGTTGAACAAAATAATTCTACAGTCTCGTATCGTGGGAGGGTTTAGGTTTTCTTTACGTATTCAATATCATAAATGGCAAGAGTTGTATTAGTAGAAGTAAATTTAATATAAGACAAAAAAAAATAACTTCATGTTTGCAAAAAAAAAATGGTTTTAAAATCATATTTATGAACACACAACATATACAACGGGTACGCGGGTACAACGGGTTGTTACCGAGGGGTGGGAAGGGGGGAAATTGAAAAAAAAAACGGTCACGACTAGGTGGAGAAGCCGAGGTCACGTACATAAATTAAATTAACAAATAAAAAACACTCCTAATTAGTTTTGTTCGTTATACGAAATGTGATTAATTACTTCGAGATAGAAGGTGGCAATAGCTTGGTGGTAGTAATATTATTTTCGCGGGTTCAATTCTCGCTCAGTGCACATTTTTATACGAATGAGTATGTATATTTGCATTAGTCTGGTTGCCTTATATATAGTTTGTAAGTATTTCCAGAAAATATATATTTAAAAGTACGTCTATTCATGTGCTAGAACGCGTACAAGCAATCTAAGTTTGTTTATAGATAGCACTGTGTAATAATGTCTAAGAATATTTATTTATTTAATAATTTAAAAGCATAAATAATAAAATAAAAATGTACTTACATGTTGACTTCTCGGATCTTGTGACTCTACTGTATAAAAAGTGATTATAGTATATCTATACTAATATTATAAAGCTGAAGAGTTTGTTTGTTTGTTTGTTTTGAACGCGCTAATTTCAGAAAACTACTGGTCCGATTTGAAAAATTCTTTCAGTGTTAGATAGCCCATTTATCGAGGAAGGCTCATTACATTACATTACATCATTACGCTAAGACCAATAGGAGCGGAGCACGAATGAAGAAGGTTTCAAAAACGGAGAAAATTTATTACTATTGAGAGACGCAGACGAAGTTGCGCGGGTCAGCTAGTTATTGATAACGGCAGATAAAGTTTTGTTCAGTTCAGATTAGTTGACTGTTGATACCGAGTCCGTCTGGAAGTAACTTATTTACTTTCTTACATTTTGATACGGATATTCAAAGTACAATGTACGCAGTGTTATCGAATTGTGCCGATATCACGCATTAATAGGCAGATAGTATGTAACCGACATATATGTATTATAATTTTTATGTTTGTGGGTACAAACATAAAAATTATAATCGAGATAATGTGAAGATACAAATCCATAGCGGAGTGCAATCCACAAACTGCAATATGACATTATAGGTTACTTTTTGTGGAAATACTTCCGCGTAGGTTACCGAGTTCCGACATTGTATAGTGCGTAATGTAACGTGGACCGCAAAGTGCTTACAAGTCCAAAAAATGTTTAACTACAAAATACTTTCACAATGAGTGACGTTATTATTAGCTAGCGTGGCGTCACATGCGTCGCCATGTCAACAGTGACCCTCCGCATTAGATGTTTCACCTCAAAGAAAGAATTTAACTTTTTTTTAACAAATATACTATATGAATGCTTTACACACCAAACCTTTGATCCCTATAGACCCATCCAACTAGTCTTAATCCCATCTATATATTGCCATCTTTCTCCATCCAAAGGTTACCTGTGGTAAATTTCTCTCATGGCTAAGACCACCGAATTTTGTTGGTGTGCACTAAAGATTGTTTGAAGTAAAACTTCTTTACGCATGCTTGACTTTGGGAGTATGATGGTGAATGCGTGATGAGAGCGTTACGAAAAGTGTGACCGGGCGAGGCGAACGGAAGTTGAGAGGGAAATATAAGTTAGTGAAGACAGAAAGAGATAGAGTTACGTTTCGTATATTACTGTAGGGGAGAGAGAGGTGCGAGCACACGTTTTCTTTCTCTCTTTCTCTCATTGCCAAGTTTTACTTGAGTCGTGTGGTATAAAGCACACTCGTTTTTTTCTACCCTACTTTATAAAAAAAAATGATGTCTGTAATATGTTAGTTTAATCTATACATCTTGGCTTTTCTTTTTATCAAATAGTTATGTAACAATGAAAAGTCATCATCATTTTCCTCTCTAAAAACATCACGGTAATAAACTGTCAGTAGTGTTTTACGACATTCTATCGCTTGTGAACGTATTAAAACGACTCTGCCTTTCAGATGTTGTTTATGCAACCTGCAGTCTGTTTTGAAATATAAATGTGTCGGAATGAAATTATTTTAGGCCTAAGGCCCCGCGCAGCAGGCGACTCGCGGCGGCTTCCAGCTACGAAAATCAGTGAGCTAGCAAGCGACTAACGTGTGTGCGACTTCTAGCGACCGATCGACTGTAATTAACAATTTATTTACCTATTTGGGATTAGTACTGAACATACTTATTGTTTTGTTAAAAAATAATTACTACTGTCAAAATAAAAAGAAGAGAAAATAAGAGAAATTCAAAGATTTGTAATGTGACGTCGTAATAACATGTTTTTGAAAGCTTACATTGCAAACGCCGGCCAAACGTAATAAATAATGTACTACGGAACTGATTATCTTAAAAAGATCTACGAAAAAGTTTGATTTAGTATAATAATATGACTATCTCCTAAGGATAACCCACAGTAAACATTTTTTATCTTGTACATCTCACAAAAAGTTAAAGGGTTATTTAGGAAGCTATTTTAAACAATACAGTATTATTTTTTATCCAATTAAATAAGTTGTGCATTAAATGTAGACCGAAACTGCTCTGTGCTGTATATCATTAAACTTAAAGCTCTGTCAGGTGTTTTATTGATTTACTTTATAGCTTTTACTAAATCTGAGTGTCTGTAGCCCTTAAGTTTTTTAACAGATCATGAAATGTGGGTTGAGGGTTTGTTTTCGTCCATGTACTTAGCCATAGGATTGTAACCTTTGCTAAACGCATGCAGTGATCTTGTAATGATCACTGATAAAAAGCATTGACATTTTTGTAAATTAAACCTAGACTGGTTTCTAAATAATTTCTGGGCGAAGTGGCGACATGTGCTGAAACACAGGTCTTATCTTGTTCGTGGATGCTGTTTGCAGTTTTTTGTCCTACAATTTCCTAGTCTGCACGGACTACGAACGGACTGTGAACAACAATATTGTAAAAAAATCAAGCAAAAAAGTTATTACAATACCTACTCGCGTCTTCGAAAAGTATTTTATTGCGATTTTTTTTTTATTTTATTTAAAAAAAAACAACTCCCGCATTAGGATATATTCATGTGTCGCGGGGGCTTCACAAACATGCATAAAACGGACACAAAGAACACCCAGACTCAGAACAACAATTTGTGGATCACACAAAGTGTCGTCCCATGTGGGGTTTGAACCCACAACACTCGACGTAGTAGAATGCGGCGTGGCGACCGCTTAAACCACTACGCCATCCGTGCAGTCAAGTAAGTTTACATACATTAATTGATTACTAGTCGGGTATTATATTTATATGATCTTCTGGCGTTTTGTTTTTTTTTTCTTAAGTTACAAACGCCGCTAGGAAGAACACTCAGTGATATATGAATGTATAGTTCAGTACCGTGGTGATAGTAAGGGGTTATCAGTGGCTGGTATCAATCACTCCGCCCTACGGAGCTCTGCTGACACCATTTAACAACAGATAGATATACACAGATTGAAAGAAAAAAGTAAAACAGCGTTGCGTATTGAAACATCCGGCATTTAACAACAATTATTGGATCCCATACACGTATTGTTCTGATTCTGATACGATTGGTAGCAATAGCCTCATGGTAGGGCAGAAAGTTGTTAAGGTAATGGAGAAAGAAATGTAATAATTAAAGAAAGTTAAAGTCGCATACAGTTCGCTTGTATTACAGAAAGTCAAATTAAGAAAATGATATCGTGTATGCGTCGTAGATTTTAAGTAATTATGCAGCTTTTACTATGCAGCTTGCACGAACTGTGATGCTATGCCTAGAGACGGGCATGACGTTTAAGTTATGATCAAGTGTGAAGAGCGAGTCTCCATGGAGGTGTGTTCTAGACAAAACCGTGATAAAAAAACGTAATACCTATAAAAATTTGAGTTATTTCTTAGTGTATAATTAATTACATTCAACATAAAATAATTTTAAATTTCCACACTAGACTCTAGTATCAAATAATCAACGTTACTAAAATTTAACATTTTTGTATTATTTCCACTTTTTTACACATATTGATTAGGTATGAATAAAGACACAATAACGTTACTATATTTTGTATGTTCCTAAACCTTTTAGTCGACTCGACGTTTTTTGATTTAAGGATTAGTGGATTGAAGGATTACTAGAAAAAATGCTTGAGAACAAATGAAATCACAACTGTGTTCTGATGCACAGGCTTTTTTAAATTACCGAGGTCATTGACCAGCTTACGACTTCGATAGCAAAACACTAGCGCCATACAGGGAACTGATAAACCGCCATCTATCGGACATATTTTATATGTTTTTTTTTTGTTTTTTTAACACTTGACACGTACCTAACAAGTATACAAGTAGCGAAAGATGAAAAAATAAAGATATTAAACTGTCAGTGATGCCAACGTCGCGAGATAACAAAGTAACTGAAGAAATAACACCGTTTAAGTATAGTTTCCACTACCTCGTGTTTAATTACACGGCGATAAGGTGTATTTAATCGTGTTTGTTTTGTAAACCAATGAACACATTACGTACAGTTTAAGTCTTTTAAATATATTATAATATTTTCACTTAAAGCTAGAGAAAACTCCAAAACAGTAGCCAGTATTTGTTTTAGGGTTGGACAAAACCAAGTAAGTTTTTAACAAAAGCCATTTGAATTTGGACTTTCAAAGATTTTCAGTCAGTTACTACCACAGAGGTCGGTATTTATTAGATACTTAAGGTAAAACATGAGGGAACAACAATTCCCACTCTGCCATCTCCTTCTGCGAGCAAGTTATGCTCGCGAAGGAGACGGCGGAGCGGGACCGGGAGAGGTTTAGGACTCTCCCGGCCCGCCAGGCCCGGGAACGGGCCAGGTACCGCAGGCGATTCAGGCGCCGGAGGTCGCAGAACGACCTCCGTCCTCCATAAGCGCAAGCCTGGGGGTGACAGGTGAGGCCATCTGTCACCCTAGCAGAAGCAGGCCGGGGTGGCGGCGAGCGCGTTGCGAAGCGCGCTCGCTTCCAGGGAGCACAGGGAACATGGGGTTCCCACACGGGGGGGGGGGGGGGGGGGGGGGGGGGGGGTCGTCTACTCGTCTGTAGATGACCCGAGGTATGTCGGGGCACCAGGGACTTCCTTTCTAGGGTATACCTGGTTCCCCGGCTATTAGTCCCCGAGACGGCGTGCGGTTTTAGTCGGTTCGAGTCCGACATGCCACCGAGAGGTGGTATCCGAGGGTATTTCCGCACGGGGAAAAAAAAAAGGGAACAACAATTCCCAAGAGAATTGTTTTTTTTTTTAATTTATTGTAGAAATGTGAGATTTGTTATTTGATTGACAAAAGGGACTCTACGGTTCCTGTGGGATCTAAGCAGCTAAATGCGACCGGATTAGCATATCGTACTTTTCAATCAATTTATGTTGCAGTAACTTTGCAAAAAAAATTTCGGTTACGGGTTACCGTTACAGCACGGTAAGGCGGGGTGGGGCAAATGTCCCATTAGCAATTCCCTTGGAAAGCTCACTGGCCTATAGCTTACAACATTTTTCAGATTTGAGGTCACAAAAATTTCAATGTATTACAATAAAATAAGTATAATTTACTGAAACATTGAACACTGAAAAATTAAGGACGGACTTATCGCTAACAGTGCCATTAAAGTTGCATAAAACAGGTACCTAATGATAATTAATTTATTGTATATGATTGTAGGCGCATATAGGAACGAACATTTCGTTTTAGCAAGGACATTGTTTTCTACACTCAAACTAAACAGAGTTTGTACTTTAAGTGTTTTTTATACTTTACATAATAATATTCAGAGCACTGCAAATAGACAGATGTACACAAAATTTTTGCACCTAAACGAGAGTAGAACCTTCAACCCCCTTTTTTTTTTTTTTTTTTTGTTGACGGAGTGGAAAATCCCTTCGGATCTCCGGCTCCTTGGGGATATACTTAGGAGCCAGGAGTATGTGGTGATTCCACTAAAAACCACTCCGACGGCTAGCCTTAGGCGCCCTGCTCTGGGGAGAACCCGGGCCATGTGATTTCAGGTAACTAGGTCCCATCTCAGGGAAAGCCAGTGGCTTCTCCCTGCCTCTCAGCCTATCCAGATGTTGCAGCCCGATCACTTTTTCAGTGCGATCAGGCTGCCATCCTTTCCCCTGGCGGCCCGCGGTCCCGTCGGCTGCTCATTACGTCGTCGACGTCTTCTTCGCTCGGGATCGGCCCTCTCCCGATCCCGTTCAGCGGTCTCTTTCTGGAGCATTACAGCTTCACAGAAAGAGATCACTGCGCCCCAAGAACCTTCAACCCCTGGTTCTAGAAATTTATCAGGATTTGGGCGCATTATACGTCAGTGATACTTATTTTAAAGTTAATAAAATCATAATCTTGTTTCTATGTCTTGTTTTAAGTGGCTCTTAAGTATGCTGCTGTCCCTACTATGGCATTTACTAGCACTTATAGACATTAGTATGCCTGCACATACTTCAAGTTGTCAGGCTGATTGAGCCTCCAGTTAGACAGGAGTTTTATTCTTCTTCAGACGCCATTCATTTATATTTTGTACATTAACAAATATTGTATCGTCACGGCAGGAAGATACAGTCTTTGAAAAAATGTTTTGAATAATTAATATTATTTAACGGGAATTAACGCGATCTCTTATTGGTCACAGGCTGACTGTCAGCCTGTGACCACGGCCGGTGCAACCTGGTCGAAACGTCAGGCAAACCAGAGGTATGTAATACCCTAAATAAGAGATCGCGTTAATTCCCGTTAAATAATATTAATTATCATGGAACGCGAAAGTTTAAAAAAAAAAAAAATGTTTTGAATACTACTCCTGGAAGTTTTTCTTCCATGTCATCTGATTGAAAGAGCCGAACGAGAACGAGATTATTTAAGAGAAATCTATTCAACGTACTCTTGAAATTTCCAAGACTGTATTTGTCTTCAAAAACAGAGAGAGAGAGACAGTGTAACAAAACTGCAATCCCAAAACACTAAGATAATCAAGAAAAATAACTTGTTTTTGTTTACAATTTAAATATGACCACAAAGAAATAGACATGGTATTAAAATATATTGTTCATATGGAATAGAACGAAATGCTCACATCACATCAACAGCCTTTAATAGTCCACTGCTGGACACAAGCCTCTCCTTAGAAAGGAGGTTTTGGCCTACTTTACCACGCTGGCCAGACGGTTTGGTATAGGGTTTGTGTCAAGTTTTCCTTCTCTCTGCAGTGCTGTTGTGCTGCGTAGTTTTCTCCGTTAGTCTCTTACGACACCCACGGGATGAATAGGGGTGGTGACACTCTGTATTCTTAATCCGTCCAACCACACGGACCAACCAAACAAACTAACAAAATGCTGCGACATACCATTTATTAAACAAATGATCTATTTCTTTACAGAACTCTCAAAATCTACAAACATATGCATGAGATGACATATATACACATACATTGACCGTATATGGTATAGTGACATAAGCAGTAATTACCACAATTATTAACACATGTTTTGACGAACGCAAAGGTCTGTGACTAAAATTAAAGGGTTTCTGTGTATTCGTCCACTTACCGACCGAGATTTTATGAACTTGAACTCCTGTGCAGTTGGTAATTAAAGATTCAATGTCCAAGATATCTTCATTTCGTAGAAAAACGTATTACTAATTAAACTAAATGTCATGTTAAAACATTTTGTTGGAGTTTCAAGGGTATTAACCCATGCTTATTACAGACTTATGAACTGCTTGCATGTATATATAAGCTTAGCCTGTAAACTCTGCCTATATCAGAGATCATTTTTTTTATGTTAGAGGGGGCAGACGAGCAGACGGGTCACCTGATGGAAAGTGACCATCGCCGCCCATGAACGTCTGCAACTCAGGAGTCACAAACGCGTTGCCGGCCTTTTAGGAAGAAGTACGCTCTTTTCTTGAAGGTTTGAAGGACGTATCGCTTATATTCGACAGATTATTATAAAAGATAAGCTTTCAAATAAAGACGACTTCATAAATATGTACTCATGGTACTGACTTTTGCCCACTTTAACTTTATACCTTAAATAATACCTGACAACTCAACTGGCACTTTATTGGTTAATTGCCCATAATATTTGTCAAGAAGTCAAAATAGATTGGTCATAACTAAATATTTTTTGGTTGTTTCAATGCGTTTATCTCCGAAACTTTCAGTCAGATTCGAATAATTATTTTTCCATTAGACAGAACACTTCTTGAAGATTAAAATGGGATACTAAAACTTCGCCGTATGACTCTGGGAAACATAGTAGGGAACATAAACAGAGATGACATAATGTCTATTCAAGGTAGCTGTATAAAAAGGTTGGATGTAGTTAACGATTTAAATGTTTTATTACAATAATAAAAACCTCACACATCTAACACACGGCCCTTTGATCCTAAATTAGACAGAGCCTATACTATGATAACCAGACTGCTGATAAACATACTACTAAATACATACATATTATAGATAAATTACAGCCAGACACAGAACAAATGATCGTGCTCATCACGCAACTATTCGTCCTGGGTGGGAATCGAACCTACGACCTTTGGCTTAGCAGTCAAGATCACTAAACACTAGACCGACAAGTCCGTCGTACATATAATATAACTTCTAATAATATGCCTATGGTTCATGTGCACCAACCACTATATCTCAATTACAAGATAAGTGGGGTCAGTTGATACTATTTTCCTCACAACATCGACTCTAGGCTCAAATTATAATACTTAGTAACTCCTATTGTCACTCTTGTTTATGTTTTTTA